TTTCATATATTACTTAAATGTCCTGATTGTCTTTGAAGAAAGAGTAAGGAAATGATCAACACAAAATTCAGGATGGTTATTTCTGGAGGGAGGGAGGGAGGGGCTAGGATTGCATTTGGTTACCCTGAGAGCTTCTGAGTTGCTAAATAGTGGATGTGTGTGTGTGTTTTATTCTTTAAACTGTGCTTTTACTTTTTTTTGGTAATAATAATAGCAACAGTACATAATTTATATAATGGTTAGTATGTGCCAAATATGGTTCCCAGTACTTTACACGTATTAACTCATTTAATGTGAGGTGGGTGCTGTTATCCCCAGGTGGGGAATCTGAGGCCCAGGAAGATTAAATCCCTTGCCCATGGTGGAGCTGAGTTTCTCATTCCAGAATCCATGTTCTTAACCCATAGGCTATGCCATCTCTCTGTTTCATATACTCTCTTGTGTGGTATATTTCAACATGAAAGAATTTTTTAAGTAGAAAAGAGGAACGATGACTCCTAGAATATCTTTCTTCCCTATATTTTATCATGTAAAATTTCCTATTTTCTCTGTAAAATTGGCTTTGTTAACATGATAGATTCCATTCTTATCTATTTGTAGTAATTTTTTTTCCTAGAAATATTTTAACTCCAAACTTTTGGTTCAGATGGATACTTCTCAAACCACTTTGGAGCCTTGCCAGTTTTTCTTTTAGGTTTTAGAAAAATGCCTGTTGTTATAAAACCAGGTTTCTAAATTGGCAGGAATGTTATTGTAAGATTGTTATTGGAAGATTGTTTTACTAATGAAGTCTCATGACAAGGACCCTGAGGACAGTGATGAAATTGAGTGAGTGAGTTTCAGATTCATGAAGCGGGAAGGATGCTCGAACATTTTGAAGCTGCTGTGGGCATTTCTTACTGAGTGCTTAGTCCTGGAAACATAATATCATCAGTGACGCAGACAGTGGCTGTATCAGTATCTCGTTTTATCAGAGCCTTGTAATTCTGCCCCTTATCACCAGGTGTCTCTCTCCTACTTTATTTTATAGGCCACTCTTAAGATTATTGAACAAATAAAATCAAACTAATCTTTTACCTATACTTTGGTACCATTCCCCCAGACCTCTTATTCATTGACCTCTCATTCCATCAGTTAGCCTTGTTTTCTCTCTTTTCCATCAGTTTTTAGACATGTTGAAGGGTCTTATCTTTGTTTACATTTAAAAAAAAAAAAAAAACAGCTAACCCTGTGATGTCCACCTCTCGCTCCAGTTATCTGTGCCCCGTTGCCATCCTTCTCCCAAGTCACGGACAAGCCTCCTGAGAAAGTCGTCTAGACTGTCTTTACTATTTTGATTCCCACTTACCTCCCCAACTCACTGCAGTTCAGCCTCGCCCCTCTCCTCACCTCTAGAACAGTTGTCACCAAGGTTATTGATCCACTAGTTGTGAGGTTATTAGACGCTTATGAATTATAAAATCTAATCCCTCTGCAGTATTAAAGACAGTCTACTTGCTCTTTTGTGGAATTACTTCCTACTGATTTTCCTCCTCTGTGCCCATTCTCTAATCATGTTTGCAAGTTTGTTTTTCCAGTTATCCCTTCAATTTTTTGTGATATTCAGACTTCCTCCCTCAACTCTTGTCTCTCCTTCCATATTCTTCCTGTGCAATCTTACCCACCCTGCAATGATTCCCAAATCTGTATTTCAAACCACACTTATTGCCAAGCCCTAGTTCTATATATCCTGACTCAGTATACCTTAAAATCTATATATCCCAAACTGAAATCATCTCCACACACCCCAGTGTTTCCCTGTCTCAGAGAATGGCGTTACCATCCCACCAGCTGTCCAAGATAGAAACCTGGGTATCTTCTTTGGTTCTTTCCTTTCTCTATTTCCCCGTCTCCACCCCACACACACCCAGTACGCTAAGTCCTCTCGATTCTACCTCTTAAATATCTCTTCACTTTTTTCCACTTCTTCCTCAATTTAACTACCATCATCTTCTCCCAGGATCACTGCAGTAGTCTCCTTCCTAATTGGCTTGTAACCCTCCAGTCCATTCTCCAGGCTGTAGCCAGAGTGGTCTTTCTAAAACCCAAATCCAGTAATGTTAATCTCCTGATTAAAACTCATCAGTAGTCTCTATTCCTTTGTCCTCTGTATAAACGCAGCTCCTGACAATGGTTACATGCGAGGGACTTTATAATCTGGCTGGTGCTCATCTCTTGTCAACTCCTTTATGCCTTCCTTCACTTCTGGTTTGGCAAACAAGCTGTTCTCTCTTCCTAGCCCTTTCCTCACCCCAACCATTAGCCTGGCTCGCTGTGATTTCAGCTTAGGTGCTGCTTCCTGTAAGTCTTTCTTGACACCTCTGAAGAATGATTTAGGTGTTATTCTTGTCTGCTGCTACAGCCCTCTGAATTCTCCTCTAACATGGCGTTTATCCTCATCTAGCTCATCCACTGTGAAGCCGTGAGCTCCTCGAGGGCAGGGACTTTGTCCTTTCCCTTTGCCCCCAGCATTTGTAGCACATACTAGGAACTTGATAAGTATAAGCTTAATGTGTGAAATATTTTATGTATGCTTGATTTGTTTTTCACGTAGGATGGTAACAAGTCGCTTTGGTAAGTGTCATAATTTCTCTTCGCAGAAACAAGTTGTCTCGGGTATAGCAAGTAAACCGAAACAGGACGATGGCGGGAGAATGGCAGCTAGAAATCGCCTCGCTGCTGTAAAAAAGGCGATGAGAGAGAGGGGTCAGCGGAAAGAGCAGGCTGAGGCAGCAGCCTCTGCAGCGCCCAAGGAAGTTGATCAAATAGTGTTTGACGGTGGATTTTTCAGAATTGAAAGTCCTGTTAAATCATTCTCAGGTTAGTTTTTCTGCTGAGACTACTGATGAAAAATATTTGGGTTGGATGGGAGCTTGTATAGGAGGCGAAAAGGAGTTTTCACATGAAGGGATATAAGCTGTCATGATTTCTGGAAAATAGACCACATCCTCACTCCCAAACACTGGCAAATTTCGTTTTGATGGATGTGATTAGATTACTTGAAGTGTGACATATCTTCTAAAGTTGCTTTTCTGTGTTTCCTAAGTGACGTCACATCTGTTATTACCCCTTAACCCCACCGTCCTATGAGGTAGGTCACAGGATCCCAGAAGGGAACGGGGTGATGAGCATGAGAAGTGAGGTGATTTCCTTCAGGTTGGATTAGAATTTCAGATACAAAGGAAACTTGGGCATCAAACCGTCACACTTCTCTAGCTGTGCTTAAAAAGGATGCTTATGGAAAGTGACTTTGGTTTTATTTTCCTTTGTATCAAAACTCTTGCTCAGATCTTTTTTTTGTTGAAGATTCCCCTGAGCTAACATCCGTGCCCATCTTCCTCTACTTTGCATATGGGACGCCGCCACAGCATGGCTGGATGAGCGGTGTTACGTCCGTGCCCAGATCCAAACCTGCAAACCCCAGGCCGCTGAAGCAGAGCACATGAACTTAACCACTACGCCACGGGGCTCGCCCCTGCTCAGATCTTTTTGAAACAAAGTAAATGTACTAATTTACTAATTTCAAAATATTCCAATGAAACCAGTTGAGGTAGACTTATTTAAAATCAACAACAGATGCTAATCCACTTTGGGTATAAGTAGCGTTTTACATTAGCCCTAACTATTTGGGATCCTTCATTGTTTGTAAAGACTCAGAATTAGAAAAATTCCCTGAAGTCTTTTTAGTTCTCCTCCTTTTCAACACACATCCTCAAATCTTTCTTCAAAATGACCAGTTTTTCTTCCCTAATGCCTACTCCTACCTACTTTGTTGCAATTGTCCTGGAATAGGAAATGGCTCTTGGGTTTTTGTTATAAGATGTGATAGTTTCACCTCCTATCTTCCTCTGCTCCTCTGTGGTGCTCTTCTGGCTGGGGCCTAAAGCAAAATAAACATAAGCTTGGCCAGACATTCAATGTTCTCCAACTATGTTCTTCATCTAGCATCTTTTGGGTACCTTTAATATTACAAGCATGAGAATTGTTTGTAGAAGATTCTTTTTATATTAAAATTAAGGATGAGAATTTTACTAAGACATTTAACTACATTAAAAAAAAGTTATAGCAAAAGATGATCTATATTTTTGTCTTAGCATTTGATATATGGAACTTTTCATATCTTTCAAAGCTTTGCCCATTTCTAACAACCCTTGACTGTGAGAATATTGTTTAAAAAGTTAAAAATTATTCTTTTTTTTTCCAGCAGTATTTGATAATAAAAATCTCACTACTGAACGCCATCTTCTTGATTCAGTAAGTTTTCCAACTTAATTTGAAAAGTTCCCTTATATTCTAGATTTGTTTTATAAAATGAATATTACTCACTTTTCAATTTAAGTGCAGTTTAAAATTTACATCTTGTTAGTGTTTTTTTTGCTCTGAAATCTGCTATTCATTTTTATCAAAATGGGAACAAAATTTCATGTTTATATACTTTAAAATATAGTATGTTTTAGCATTAACCTCTGAAGATTTATTTCCTCATATGACTTATGTATCAGATTTGTTGTGACAAATTGAATAGTTGAGTATCTAATATGTGGCTTGGATTATGCTAGGTATTTCTAAGTGATACAAGAAAGTATAAGGCAAGGTTTCTGCCCATCTGAAGCATATAGCTGGGGAGATGATGTCTATCCTAGCTTTAGTCATCATTGGTTATTTTCATTCTAATTTGTTTAGATGACTATATTTATGTTCTGTTTTATTTGGAAGCCCCTGGTCTTTACTTTCGGTGTCCTTTTGCCTCTAACTCGAGTTCCAAGATTAGCCGTCTGTGAAGCCTTCCTGTAAGACTCTCATCCCTCCTGTGTTAACTCACATACAGGTCCGGGTGCACACAGGCACACAATGCATACGATGGACCCATTTAATCTCTTATTAAGAGAACAATATAAATATATTCCTAAAACATATTATAATTTCAGGAATCTATTTCCCTTATTAACTATCAGTTCCTCTTCGGGTAGAGCTGTCTGATTCACGGTCAGGGATGCTGGCGCCGGCGCGAGGGGAGTAGCGGTCCCTTGCCTACTAAGTGTTTGCAGGATTTGTTTTCAGCCCTTCCCCCAGATGTTGTTATTTCAGTGATCTGGAGCAGACCTTCGTCAGGTGGTTTTAATGTGTAGCCCAGTTGACAACTCTGGTTTACAGCCTTACCCGGAAATTTTCCAGGGCCAGTTGCTAATACGGGTCAGGGAATGGCCTTGGTTTGCTAATCTTTGATTTCAGAATATAAAAAATTCATTAAGGCAAGTGTAGGATCAAACAGCAGCAATTGTTATTAACCTCATGAAGCCTGGCAAATGCTTGGCTTCCTGAAGCCACTAATTCCTTAGGGACTTCTGTGTATTGGCTTTCAAAGGAGCCTTCTTGGCATTTAGGCTTCCGGGCAGCCCTGGGTCTCTGGAGCAGAATGAAGTGTGTCACTGTGACCCGCACTCTGATCCTTCTTGGTTTCAACCTTCTAATCATTGGCTGAGACCTAAGGGTCAGGGATTTCTGCATAAGGCCAATTTATATAAACCTGATGTAATCCTGTTCCTAGATTTGAATTCTGAATGATTGGTTCTGATAATATATGATCTTATAAGTAAATCTGGAAATTAATGAATCATAATATTCTGCTTTTGATATATTAGTAATATGATTAAAAGTACTTCACAGTTATCTATACATTCTTGTTGATAAATCTTAGTACCTTATAATTTAGTCTCCCTGTGAATTCTTTTCTACTGTGAATATTAGAATTTTGATTTTTTTTGATATATTTTTTATAGATCCCCCTGTCTATTTCAGACCCAAATTATTACTTTCTCTGAGGCATCCTTTGAACCTGGACTAGGGCTTGAGGGGGAACAGACAAAAGGATCCTACAGCTTCACACTAGTAAAAGGCATATTAAATGCGGTTATATGGATTAGGATTTGTGGAATCCACATAAGTGGCTTAAGAAATGGCCTCAGTTTTATTCATCCTGCATGTGCTGCTGAAGTCCATTTACATGACTAACGGCATGTATTTCTAATATCCCTAATTTTTAGGCATATATTTCTAATACACCTTTTCAATGAAAAAAACTTAAGTTTTGAAATTGTGTCTGCTGGAAAGTAGCATAATCCTTGTTATTAATTTTATTGTTATGTACAAAAATGTTATTTATGTTATTAATTAATCCACTATTAACTTGCAATGTTGAAGACTAATTTTAGTGAAACTCTTGAGTGTTGCTTTAGTGACTTCTCTGAATTTATTCTCTAGCCACGCCTGAAGTGCAGTAATCCATCCACTCAGGTGGAGAGGAGACAACAGGAACGTGCCAGACACATTTCCTTTGCTGGGGACTTGATTGCCTTTTCACCTTGAAGGCCTCTCAATAGCAGGCAGCCAGAAGAATTGTGAATTAAAGAAAAAAAGCCAAACATTTTCTTCATATTACCCGTGCTGTGGTGTATTCATAGGATACCGAAAAGTTGAAGAATATGGATTTGTGTTCACTTATATTTAAGTCACTTATATAGTGTCATGTAATGTCTTAATATTCAGTGTTCACCAAAGTGTGTTTTAGATATGATACTGTTTTTCAGGGGAAGTGGGGATAATTTGTACTTTATGCAGAATAAAAAATGCACTGTGCCTAGCCTCTCTTGTTTAAAATGTTTAAGCTTAAAGCTAAGTATACTTAACAGCTTACAGACATTCTTGTTTAATCAAAATATGTTAAACTTGGATAGTAATATTTACATCCTTTCATACTTTATTCTTAGTTTGAACTCTTAAATTCGTTGATGTTGAATAGCTTTGCATATTGCGTTTTCCAGGGTAAATGAGTTTCTTTAGATGAGCTTTCTGGATTCTGAAGTCAGTTTACATGCTGCTGTTTCAAATGGTTAAATTATTAGGGGTGCCCATTAAATTTTTGCCTTTTTCATTTTCCCCTTGACGTAACTGACAGCCTTTGAAGGAAATGCCTTCTTCCTTTGAAGAGAATTATCTCGATCACAATGTGTTTGGGATGTTCTTTTATAAAACTCTTACCTGTGAGATTGCAGAAGACAGGACTGGCAGGATAACAGAGCGCCAGGAAGACTCAGAGTAGCTAAAGCTTGCGACCAGACCTGGGTCCAGTTGTTTCTGTCAGCAAAGGAGTTGAGGGTTGGAGGTAGAGACCAAACAAGCAGCAACTTTCTGGATAACCCCTTAAGATTAGGGGTTCGCAAATAAGAAAAGAAAATGCATCTACTTTTGTGGTCAGAGGAAGGTGTGTTGGTCTTGTGGGAGAGAGTATTTATTATCCACGTCCATGACGTGTCCATGTCAGCAGTTGCGAGGCTATGTGAAGTGCTGGCTTAGGAGAATGTTCTCAGAATGCTTAGTCTTACCAAAGATAGAAGTGGCTTGTATTCATTAAGTCTGTTAGTGAATAATGCAAGCAAGACATGCAGAACAAAGAAATATGTATAGAAGTTAGGGTTTACTAAGGGCGCAAAGCCACAAACATGTACAAAGTAACCAAAGACTTAGGCTCTATGTGAAACAATATGCAGTGTAACAAAATAACATCCGCCCTCAAGGATAAAGTAGAGGAGGATAAGACAATGTCCGTAAACATGATTTTCTCTTTGGTAGGTTTAATAAGATGTACAATTGAATCGTTTGGAAAGCTTTTGGCTGCTAAGTAGTAGTAAAATGAACTCGAACTGGCTTCACGATAAGGAAACTTATTTCACGAGTCACCAGGGTGATTCTAAGCACTTTCTAATCAACAGCTCAGTGATGGCATCAAGGTCCAACACTCGGTTCGTAGTTCTCTTGGTCATCCTTGGGGTCAGCTTCTCCGAGGCTGGGTCCTTCTGGGGTCATAAGAAGGCTGCTGGTGGTAACAGAGCTATGTCTTTCCTTTTGGTCTGGTTAGGCCAACTGATGCTGATCCCTATCTGCAGATAATAAGAGTCGGGAGAGGATGGGAAATGAGGAGTAAAGGGGAAGGCCACCATCAGTGTCTCCCACGACTAGACAGAGTGTTCCCGGGCTACTGGACTCTGGGATTATGAGGTATTAGAAAAACCTTTACAGACAAAATGGAAGAAAACTGCTTGAGTAGAAGGATAGCCTTTGCAAAATCGAAAAAAATGGCATATCCATTTATTGAAGACCTACTGCGTGACAACCCCTTTGCAAACAATATTTAACGATCACAGTAACCCTACAAAAGATGTCTTATACTGCCCATTCTATGGACAAAGGAACCAAGGCTCAGAGGATGTAAGTGATTCTGTGTAAGCTTAGTTCCCTCTTCTCCAAAGCTTCCGCTCTTCCCTTTAATCATAGGAGTAGGACAGTCAAGACCAGAACGTGAGGTTAAAGAACTGACGGTTTTCAAAGCGGCTGTGATGTGCTGCCCAATCCCTCTAAAGGACTGAGGAACTGCCTCCAGGTATCTGAAGCACAGAGAGCGTTCAGCCATCATCCCATGAGAACTGCCTGAGGACAAGACAGACACCTCACCCAAGTCTCCGCCCTGTTTCCCAGGTGGCCTGTATCCATTGACTGAAGTGAAGCTAGAGGACCTGTCGCCCTCTGGACTACCCTAAAGGATCATCCCAGCTTCAGAACCCCTGTAGAGTGGGCTGAGGCGTCCATGCTCAACTTCTCCCTCTGCCCAATCCTGTACCTTCTCGTCCCTACAGCTGTTGATCTCGAGAGCACTCCCTCATAAACCTCTTGCATTCTAATCTCTTTGCTTCCCAGGGAACTCGACCTGTGACAATGACCAATTTAAAGTATTTGAGAAGATGGTATTGTGGAAACAATTGATACAGTAATATTTTGGTCTTCTATAAAATCAAGTGGTGTGACCACAACCTAGTTTTGAAATTTTATTATTCTTTGGGCTTGCTGGTAATAAGGAAGGGCAGAAAGGCATGGTTAAGAAGGTTGACAATGGGAACTATGACATTTTTGAAGCTGAT